CCCCCTCTCCCCATTGCCCTCCCCCCTCCCCCCGATTTTTTGAGTGCTTATAAGTAAACTACACCAGTCTTGACTTTCCTGCATGCATCAGTATCAATTTTCCAACAAAATGAATAGAAGAACAGGGATAAAACGGTTGCCTTGCTGAAGCTAAGTCAGTTGCAATGTGTTAGAATTCAGTGTTGAAAAACAGTAACAACCAGGAAAGCTGGGAGGCTGAAATTTTGAAATTATGTTCCCTGTCCACATAGGTGTGCATGGTCCCCATGTACGGCCCCATGAAACATGAACTTTTCTCATCAAAAATTTTAAAGATCAGCAAGGAGTTGAATTCTTTTTTTTTCACTTTTTTTAGAAAGCTGAATTTTTTGTTTGAATAAAGATTTGCTGACTTATCGGGTTCCAACAATTAAATAAAAAGGCACGGAGCGCCTCTACATCCGAATTCCCATGTCACTGGAAACCCATACTTGGCAAACTCCCAATGAATGATGACCGGTACCATTTGTCACTTACGAATGCATTCTACAAATGCCTTGATATAACAAGAATCGCAGACCTCCAGACTGATAATTCCATTGTTCTGCACCGGTAAATAGGTTACTTTGAAGCCTTTTGTTGAGAGATAACGACAAGAATCCAACACACATTTATGTTCCTGCAAAACTTTGTTATACTCAAAAATATTTATACTCCTACAACCCCCGCCCCTTCTTCCTTTCCCCCTCCCCCCGCATTTTAATCGGCCGCCTCCTGAGCACACTGCTTCTTTTATATCTACCTCATTTATCCCCTATATCTCCCTTCTACCTATCTTACTTCTACATCTTTTTATTCTTCCTTTATTCGTCTTCCTTTCATATTTTCTTTGCCTTCCCTGTCCCATACTTTTATTCGTTTTTCTTTTAATTTTATTTAACTCTTATATTTACTTCATATTACTTTTCCCACCATGTCAATCAATTTAACAATTAGTATTATTATTACTACTCTTCTTCCACAATACTTCTTACTATTAACAAATATTACACAATTTCACCTTAATACCCACTAACTACAATTACCACAACTATCGTACTGACGAGGTGCAGTTGTGATAATGGTAAGAAATGTATAAGACTTAATGGACCGAGACATTTCTTAGCATTAAAACGATTCAACTAATTTACAAATTTTGTAATTCTCACCTTCCCTTTTATTCTTCTGTTAATGTACCCTTCTGTTCTATTAATGAGAACTGCTGT